CGTGGCTGACGTGTCCTCCAGGACCCCTCCTCTTCACGGAGACCGCCTCAGGCCGACGGTCTCGAGAACCTCGAGAATCCGGTCCGTCTCGATGTCCGAGCTCCCCTCGAGGTCAGGGTACACGAGGTTGTCGCGCAGAGTGCCCATGAAAACGAAAGGCCTCTGCGGAACGCACGCCACGGACCGCCGGTCGCACCGCACGACGGTGCCGCAGCCGTGGGACCACAGCCCGTTGATCGCCCGGAGCAGCAGGCTCTTCCCCACGCCAGTCTCGCCGACCAGCAGCATGGACTCCCCAGGCTGCAGCTGCACGCTGAAGTCGGACAGCACCTTGGCACGCCAGAAGCCCAGTCATCCGAACGGTTTGGGTGTTTTGTTTCTCGGCCCAAACAACTTTCCATCCTCCTCCTCCTCCTCCTCCTCCTCCTCCTCCTCCTCCTCCTCCTCCTCCTCCTCCTCCCCCGACTATAGGCCCCCAGAGGCTGTTTTCGGACCCTGGGGCCATGCAAGAAGGGCTGCGGGATGGAAGTCTGCCCTCGGGGCCAGGAGCTCTGGGGCCGTGGGCCGGTTCATCACGCTGCCGGATCTCCTGGCATGGGAGCCTGCTCTTTTGCAGACGGGGCGGCTCGTTTCGCCAGCTGCTGCGGCCTTGGGCCAGGTCTCGACGGACTCATCGGAACGATCGCGCTTCAGTCGGAGGCTGTTTTTTTGAGCCCAGGGCATGGCTGCACAGTCGGCCTGCCAACGAGTGCGCCACGGCACATTCTTGTCGGCTCATGGGGTTGCGGAGCCCTGGGGCACCCTGCTAAGCTCATGGACGGTGCCTGGCAGCAAGCCCCACACCGACGGCGGCGGCACGCGACGGTCGAGACACCGGCAGCGAATCCTTTCACTCCGAAGGGACCCCAGGACACACAAATAAACACACACAAATAACAATGTTCCCCCTATTTTCCTATGTTTTCTGGGTTCTTGTCTTCCCCCCCACTTCCCATGGTTTCCCATATTTTCTGGGGAGTCGACGATTCGTTGTGTCTGTGTGTGTGTTTTCCCTCCTGAGCACTCCTCCCTGCCGATCGCCCGTGCCGCGAGCTCTTTCCCCCGAGGTCCAGCCGAGCATCGGCCTTCGCGGCCGCTCCCTCGGCCCCGCCACAACCTCCTCCTCCTCCTCCCCCTCCTCCTCTCCCCTCCTCCCCCCTCCTCCTCCTGCTCCTCCACCTCCTCCTCCTCCTCCTCCTCCTCCTCCTCCTCCTCCTCCTCCTCCTCCTCCCTTCTCCTCCACCTCCTCCTTCTCCTCCTCCTCCTCCTCCTCCTCCTCCTGCCCCTATAGACTCGAGGGCGAGGATGGCACACAGCACGCGCCAATGGAACGGACAGGAACAGAGCTGTCGGCCTTCACTCCCACCTTCCCTCCGCCCCCGCCTCGCCGGCTCCAGAGAGACTGGATCTCCAGGAGGAGCCGGCGGCAGGAGCCGCCGACGCCTCTCACTCCCACGTCCTCCCGCCGAGGGCGAGAGGCAAGTCATGCGAGATGGGACGCACAGAGACATACTAATACTACATGTCCTCCTACACGAACATATAGTATACCCATATTGTAGTATATCGTTTCCCGAGCGGTGGGGCCAGAAACCGCCCGCCATGACGCATATGCTATCAGATTTCTCGGTGCGCGCGGCGCCCCTGGGGGGGCGACGAACATATAGTATGAGCATGTTGGGGTGATGCCGACGAGAGGCCCTTTCTGGAACGCCCCGCTTCTGGGGAAACCAAACGGCACCGATACCGCTACTCCCCGGACCTCTCCCCGGGTGCGTTCTGACCAGAATCTCGAGGCGAATCCGGCAGTGGCGACGAGGGCCTCCCAGGAGGCCCAAAAAGTCGAAACCGGGCGAGGGGGTAGAGGTATGGGTACCTTTGGATCTTCTGACCCGGGTCAATCCAGACCCGGGTCAGCAAGAAACCCGAAAAACTGAAATGCAGGACAAAAAAAACTGCATCGCATGACCTCGCAAACCCGGATCAGCCAATATGCGCGACCGCGGCCGCCCTCGCGGCCACGAGCGGCTCGCTCACCCGGGTCAGCCAGAGGGGGGTCTTCGCAGGATCCTGCAGGATCCGGTGCCCTGGCTGACCCCCGTTTGCGTTGATCCCCGTCTCAAGGCTCCCGAAGCCTCCCCTGAGCTTCGACCCCCTGGGGCACCAGCTGCTGGATCTTCCCCGGCACCCACAGGTGCACTCTGACCAGAATTCCGAGGCGAACCCAGCGGTGGCGACGAGGGCCTCCCAGGAGGCCCATACAGGCGAAACCGGGCGAGGGGGTAGAGAGGTATGGGCACCTTTTCCTCCCCCGAGCTTCGACCCCCCGAGGCACCAGCTGCTGGATCTTCCCCGGCACCCACAGGTGCACGCCGCGCAGGTCCAGCGACGGCTCCCGCAGGGGCCGCGGGCGCGCCGCCCAGGCCACGGCTCCCCCGGAGGCGGCGGGCGGCGCGGCCTCCTGCGCGGAAGAGGCCCGGGAGGGCGGGAGGGCGAGGGGGCGGACGGCAGAGGCCGAGGGGGGCAGGGCAAGAGGGGGAGGAGGAGGAGGAGGAGGAGGAGGAGGAGGAGGAGGAGGAGGAGGAGGAGGAGGAGGAGGAGGAGGAGGAGGAGGAGGAGGAGGAGGAGGAGGAGGAGGGGCGGCAGGAGGAGGAGGAGGAGGAGGAGGAGGAGGAGGAGGAGGAAGAGGAGGAAGTTTAGTCTTTGTTGTTTCAAATATCGGGGGGGGCGGGGTTGGGGGGCAGCGGAGCGAGGAGACGGGCAAGCTGGGTGCGCTCGCGTCGCGTCTGCCATCCCCTGGCGCCCACCCCTTCGGCGGTGGACAGGCCTCCCTTTCGTAAACGCCTCCCTTTAGTGAAAATAGCCCAGGACCGAAACCGGCGGGCCTGGACCCGCAGCAATGACGGCCGCGACGCCCTCTCGCGAACCGAAAAGGGCCATTTCGCGGATCGACGCGTCAGGGCAGGAGGCCTATCGACCTCCGATCCCTTCCCTCGGCGCCGAGTTGTCTCCGTCCGCCGAGGGGTGTCCTGGCGGACCTGAGCCCCCCCCCCAAAAAAAAGCCCCAGGGTTTGATGCGACATCACAGGGGGGAGCTGCGCACATCGGGCGAGGAGGTGGCCGAGGAGCAGGGGGCTGAGCCAGAGGAAGAGGAGGAGAAGGAAAGCTGCAGTGAGATGTATGTCAAAAAAGCAAGCTCCCTCACATCCTGCGAAACTTACGGACTCTAGTTGCAGTGAGAGGGGGCACCACGTCCCTTTGGGCCTGCTCGAAACTCTCCTATACATCCTACGTTCAGAGCGGCACCAAAGTACCGTCTCCCTGGGATCCTGGAGCCCATGCAACGCAGCAGTTTTATGCATGGCTGAGGGCTCGGGCACCTCAAGCCCGTGGGGACCTCCCCCATCCTGGGGACCCGAAGCTTCAGGACTGTGCACCTCCCCCACCCACAGGGCTCGGACATCCAATGGCGGAGCGACGATCGACTCGAGCCCGGGGGGGGGGAGATTGCGTCGAATCAGGATGTGGGCCTCTCCGAAGCCTACTGCTCTGCGCGGGAGGACCTGGATTGGGCAAGCCGCAACATGGCCAGACCCAGGCCCGAACTTGTTCTGCACGCTGGCACCACAGCCCGTGCGACATAAAACTGGCGGTCCATGAACGAGCCCATGCAGTGACGCCTGCATACCCATCGGACGAAAGAAGTAGGCAGAAACATGAAGTAGGAAGGCGTTGGAAGTAGATTGGGCTTCCCCCGCCATCTGAAGAGGAGGGAAGAAGGAAATCAGTCGATCCTTGAAGTAGGAAGGCGCCGAAAGTAGATTGGAATCTGGGACTCCCAAAAATCCGCCGATCCGGCGTGAGTTTCTGAGAGCGTGGGCGTGAGCTCGCTCAAGCTTCGCTCTGCAAAGGGGGGGGGGCCCCCCAAACCCTTCCCGACGCCATTCAGTGCTCGGGAGCAGGGGGGGGAGGGTCGCTCTGCAAGGGGGGGGGGGGACGCCATTCCCGACGCCTCGTGCTCGGGGCCAGGGGGGGGTTCGCTCTGCAGGGGGGGGGAAGGAGGGACGCCATTCCGACGCCATCCAGTGCTCGGGAGCCTGGGGGGGGGGTCGCTCTGCAAGGGGGGGGGGCCATTCCCGACGACGCCATGCGACGACGCCATTCAATGGAGCTTGGGGGGGGAGGGTTCGCTCTGCAGGGGGGGCGGGGGGCGAGTGCTCGGGGGCAGGGCGGGGGGGTCGCTCTGAAGGGGGGGTGGGGGGGGGGGAACGCCATTCCCGACGCCATTCAATGCTCGGGAGCTCGGGGAGGGGGGAGGGTTCGCTATGCAAGGGGAGGGAGGGGGACGAGTGCTCGGGAGCAGGGGAGGGGGGGTTGGTCGGGGGGGCTTCGCTTCCGACGGTACCAAAGGCCCCCGAGACCGCGTCAAGACGGCTCAAGAGGCTCCCAAGACGACCCCAAAACGGCCCAAGAGGGCGCCGTCCACTTCCTCCTCCTCCCCCTCCTCCATCCTCGCTCCTCGTGCTCCTTCCTCTCTGCTCCTCCTCCTTCACCTCTCCCTCCTCCCTCATCCCTCCCTCCCTCCCCTCCTCCCCTCCTCCTTTCTCCCTCCTCCCTCCTCCCTCCTTTCCCCTACCTCTTGCCTCCTCCTTCCTCCCTCCTCTCTCGTCATCCACCCTCCATCCTCCATCCTCTTCCTCCCTCCTCACAAAAGCCAAACGCAGTCCCAGGACGGCCCCTTATGAGCTCCACAGGATGTGAAGACGGAAGACACAGCATATAATGGCCGGCCTCTTCCTTCTCATTATCTTCATCATAACCGTCGTCATCAGCATCCCCACCATCACTATGGTCAACATCATCATCAGTATCATCAACATCAGCATCAGCATCAGCATCAGCATCATCATCATCATCATCATCATCATCAGCAGCAGCAGCATCATCATCATCAGCAACATCACCATCACCATCACCATCGCCGTCCTCACCAACTGCATCATCCTTAGTACCCTGAGAATTCACATCACCAACATCACCACCAACGTCATCATCATTATCAGCATCATTGCGGGCACACCGCTATCATCATCACAACCACCATCACAATCACCATCACCAGCACCACAATCCTGATTATCGTCGTCGTCATCACCATCTTCATGCTCTTCACCATTTCCATTACCATGATAAACAATCTCCGAATATTCATCGACATCATCATCATCACCATCATCACCATCATCACCATCATCATCATCATCATCCTCACCACCACCATCATCATCATCATCATCACCACCACCACCACCACCACCATCATCATCATCATCATCATCATCATCATCATCATCATCATCATCATCCTCCGGAGCGCCCCGGATCGCCGGCACCGGCCGGCGGCCAGCACAAGACCTACTCTCAGCTGGCGACGGCCCGCGCCCCCGGCGGCCAGGCGGGCCCGCCGCGGGAGGCGGGGGCCGACGCTCCGTCATAGGGCAATACGGCTCGGGCGGGCGATCGGAGCGAGGCTCTGCGTCCACTCCGGTTCTATACAGTCGTGGCTTTGACCTAAGGAACCCTACGGCAGGTTCGTGTCGTGCCGACAGCGTTGGTTTTTGACACCGCAGGGATCGTTCAACCTTGAACGATCGGCCGCTGCCGCAACGTCCGATCGTTCAACATCGATCGATTCTGGGTCGCAGGTGGCGTTCAACCTTGAACGCCCGCGCTGGGGTCGCCGCTGGTCGACACGACGCAAACCTACCGTAAATAAGGAACAAGGCCCCTATTTCCCATAAGTTCAACCTCGATTTTCCATGGAAAACCTCAGGAAAACCCGAGGCAAGCTGCGAAACAATCAAGGAACACCGAGCCCCTCCCCAACGAAAAGGGTTCCTTCTTCAGGGCCCCGACTGTATGCACCCACTCCGGTTCTATAGAAGAAGGGAAAAAGGCGCAAACATATAAACTTTTGGCACTCCGCGCGGATGTCTCGGACCTGCGCTGGATCCCCCTCCCTGGCGCGCGGACCGACCGCTCCAGGGGCGGCGCTGGAGGCGCCGCCAGGGCGCTCCAGCGCAGATCCAAGAAATCTGCTCCGAGCGCCAACAGTTTGTGTTTATGCAATTGTTTCTTCTTCGATTCTAGCTGCGAGGCATCCCACTCGAGCTCTGTCACAACGCCAGCCGCGCCTCCAGCTCCGCGGAGGTATTGCATGCCGGCCTCCTGCAGCCTCTCGTGGAGCCTGCCGAGCCACAGGGCACCGTCTTCAGCCCTGCGCTCGCCGGCTTCAGCAAAACAGACAATCCCCGGGGGCCTCCCACAAACGGGCCCCAGCTGTGGCCCACTTGTCGGCCAGCTGGCTTCCCCCGAGGCATCCCGAGGTCGCCCGTGAGAGGGGGAGGCCTCCGAGAGCCTCCTGTGAGCCTTCACCTCGGGGAAGCACTGGAAGAGTCCCCAGCCTTCTCCCAGAAGAGCTTCCACAGGTGCACGCGCTCATCCTGGGATCCTGCCCGGGAAAGCACACTCACCATAGATTTCGGGGGCTACATCTTCGCTCCCTTCCGAGGGAGGCTCCGAAAGCTGAGCCGCCATGCGAGACGCGAAAACCTCCCCGTCGCACGCCCACCGGTCGGGCCCCCGAGACCTCGGCATCATCCCATACCGCAGGCAGCGAAGTTGCCGTCGAGACCTGCTTACACAGCTGACCAGCCAGCTCGCCTGCGTGAGCCGCGCTTCGCGCTAAAGGCTGAGCCGCCAACGGACATGGGCCCTCCCCAGAGCCACCTAAAATGGGCCCCGACGCAACGCACCCAGTTCTCCTCAGCAGCTTCAGGTCGTCCGAAACATGTCTCGGGGGAGGGAAAAAAAACCCGCGGCCACAAACTTAGTGGCATATTCCCGGGCAGCCGCCACCCCGACCGAGTGGGGCATGCCAGTTCGTCTGAAGCTGCCAGATCACTAGCAGGGGAAGCCACGATGTTGCAATGTCCCTGGGCACCCGCACATCCTGCAGCCCCCCACCATGGCCCTACCGCGACGAAATCTGGCGCTGCTGAGACCAGCGGGTGCCCGACACCAGGCTCCGCACAAGGCTCCTACCATGCCTGCTGAGCTTAAGCTTGCGACTGAACAGCACGCCCTCGAGGCGCTGCGCGTCCGACTCAGAGCGCCACCCGGGGCATCTGCTCGCCGACGCATCATCAGTCGCCGCAGCGGCCATGGCTCTCACCAGCGTCACAGATCTGCCTGGAGAGAGCACTTTTGGAGTGACGAGCTTGCGTCGGGGTCCTTCAACCTCCATCACAGACAACGTCCCAGCTCCCATCCTGGCCGGCACGAGCACCCTGGCAGGGTTGCTGCACTGACTCCAGGGGCTTCTGGATCTCCGGGTGCCCCTAAACTGTTCCAGAACAGCTTCGATAAAGGGCACATAGGGCGGCCTCGACGCACATGGCC